GAATAATGGAAAAATAAACTTCTTTTACCAAGTATCTAGAAGAACATTTGCCCTGAAGATGCATGAGGTGAGAATTGTTTGCAGGCTTTCTTTGCCAGCTAAAGCTATTGGATTTAACTAAAGTATGTAAGTGTGTGGCCAGGGAGGAAAAAAGACTTCTAATATTGGTTGACGTAGAAAACAGAAGGTGATGCGCTGTAAAATTAGCGCTACAGAGATGAGAATTTAGCAGGTTTGTTTACAAGTTGGTATTGCTGATTGAGCAGGGATGGCTGTTACAGGTCTATTTTTAGAAAAGGAAAAAGAAGATTTAAGAGAGAATATATTTGATCTCAATATGTAGGAGAAAGGATATGATGGGCTCAGTATGTGAGGGGGACCCTAGTAAGACTGAAATTATTCAGCATGGACAGACAAATCATCAGAAAATTGTAATCTAACTAGTCTCTCAGTCTCCACTTTTTTCTTAAGCACTGAAAAGTTCCCTCAAAGCAGAGTTTGACAGGAGAGCGTCTATACTGTGCTATCTGAACAGAGCAGGTTCTACACCAGAATAACCCTGTTAACTTCAGGGGGCCATCTTAACAGAGATCCAAACCTGAGCTCTCAAGTTTAAAGAGAAGCCATACAAATGGCTTCTATCTGTAAATGCAATCTAGTGCAAGCTTGTACTGAAGTGGGAGGTGCTGCTCTATAAGCTCTGTAAAAAGCTTTATAGAAATGACCCTGCTTGAAGCGTGACATAGACCTAAAGCAGTCATGGAGTTCAGTGGCCAGAAGCTCAGTCTGACTTTGCTTTGTTTAGGAAGAGGCATTGGCATGTAAAAATAACTCTCTAGGTGCCTCTAGGGCCCTGCTTCTTTGTCTAGCAGAAGACGTCAATTAAACTAAATGGTTACCCATATCCCTAAATATGTTCTATTTTTAAATCTGCAGATATAAAACTTATAAAGAAGGATGCAACTAGTTTCATATTTAGGTTGTGGAGGTTGAAATGAATAGTGATTGATTGCTGCTTCTCCTGAAACTTCAGCTAATGGCTATTAACCTTACTTCAGATGAAAAAATAAAAAGCAAAGTCAAACAAATCGGGAAATGTGTTTTTCTGTGACGATAAAATCTCCCATGTGGTCTGAACAGTGTTTTATAAAGCCTAGGGAATATCTCTCCAGATGTCACCTTCAAATACTATTACTTTGACTCTCCTGAAGATCCCCCTGAACTTTCCTGTTTGCTTCTGTGCACAGAAAACAGTCCTTAATGGTTGATGCTCTCCAGGCCCTTTCTAAGAACCTTCTGCCTTACCAGTAGCCTTTTCTGCACTGTCAAGAAATCTAGTTTCAGGCAGCAGTCAGCTCTGAAATCTCCTGGGCCCAGATCTAAATGTAAAGCTTTATTAATTGGTCTTTGTTTGCTGGTCAAAACAAAACCAGGTATTCTGAAATACTGATTTGTTGATGTAGACCCAACTAACAATTCAAGAGCGAGCTGTAAAAGTAGCTGGAAAATGTTTTTCTTGTGTCTACAGCAGCAGTCACCTGCTTTAACCTCTGAAGAGGGCCCCATTTGAACATTACATTGTAAGAATGTTTTCATGGCAAATTAAGACAATTAGACTTCTATAAATGGTCTGGAAGCGGGTGTTAGATGTGTTGAAGAGTTGTATTTTGTAGTGTCTCACTGCACTTTTCACTTTGAGCTGGGTGACTGACACTCAAACAGCACTGGAATCTGCTCAGGGCACTTCACTAGCATTACCTTCCCACCTTTCCCTTCCCAGACAATTGCCTTTTTAAATGTAGCTGGAAAGATAAAAAGCCTTATTACTGTAAAAATCGCTGTGAAATTAAAAGGGATAGGAATCGGGCATTTGTGTAGCAGGTTCTTTTCATGTCTCTGCCAATTATGGTTCTCTTTTCTCAGTCAGAGATGTTAACCTGTGCTGCTTTTATCTCAGGATCCCAGCCCAGGTTTCTAAAGTGATTTGAGGTCATTTGAGATCTTCTTTTGGTTTTGCCACTTCTTCCTGGGAGGAAGAGTGGCACTGATGGGAAATGTCTTGTTATTTATAGACTGTCTCTGTGCTATGTCTCCTGTGGTTACATAGAGGAGGCAGCATACTGTCTATTTACTTTACTTTTAGACCACCTGTGTCTCAGCCACAGTTTCTTACTATGGACTTGCTGAGAATTTTTGTCCAATTTCTTTTAAATTACTCTTTTACAAGTGCATGATATTGATCAATGGGCTCTTGTCCAGCTCCTTCTTGTGATACATCCCTGGAGGTCCTGGTGACAGAATGTTTAGTCTGATGTGGCTAGGTGGGAATGGAGATCTTTTTAAAGGATCCAGAGCATGGAGTGAGGCTGGGGGCTCAATGCATGCCTGTGTCATACATTGGAGGGTCAGGATGCAGCTAGAGCGAGTGCTTGTGACAGGGAATAGGGATTTGCTCCTGAGTACAGGAGGTTGCTATGCTTTCTCCATCTTCAGTTACCCACCTAAGCTTCTCTGCTACATTTATCACAGTTATATTAGCTCAGATTTTTACTGCATTACAGGAGAGGATCTGATAAACTGCAAAGTAAAAATGAACAATCTGCTCCTTTTTAAATGCTCAGACTGAAGTCTATTGAGGGCTTGTTGATAGAGGGCATTTAGCTCCAGAAATAAAATTGTGAAGTACTTGGCTAAAATTCTCTCAACTTCCTCTCAATTTTTACTTGATTCAACCCTGATTCACTGATAACATCCTAGAGTTTATAGTAACAACAACAGAGCTGAAATCCTGACCTTCTTGAAGCCAACAGGGAATCCTTTACCCAGGATTTCATACTAGATACCTCACTGTGGCCACTGTATCACAAAAATTTGTCATCCTTTGGCATCTTCAGTGGAGCAGGAAATACCATGGGGATTTCTCACACTGGAGGGACACATGGAGCAGTATTCTCCTGAGATAGCTAAAGAGTACAGGCAGTTTCCTAGCATTGATTCTGTGCTTGCTGACCTTACAAAGTTGTCATGAGGAGGTCTGAAAAAAGAGTCTCATCAAACCTAGGTACTAGCAAGTCTGTCTGCTCTTGGGTGAGAACAATTGGTGGGGCACAGCTAAAGAATAAAGCTGTGTTCTGCCCATTGAGTTGTGGTTTACAGTGAAATGAAGTGGGGACAAAGCTTCCCCTCTCCTGAAAAGGTGATTGGCGCCTTTGGCACTGTTGTGAGCTTGCCTGTGAGCTCAGTAAGAGCAGTCCTTTCTCTGAAGGGAATGTAGACTAGTATATTTGGATTTATCCTCCTCACCTGTAGTTTTTGGGCTTAACCCAGAACACCTTATATTTTTCTGCTTTATGCAAGGTACCAGACTATGAGTTGGGTCAGCAGAGATGCAGCTGATGCATCTTGGTCTGATGCTACAGGTGTGGTAGCCTCTGGAAAAAGGCAGGACAGAACATTGTGATGGCAGCTGTGAGTGTTGCCCCAAGTGAATCTGCCAGAGCTGTGAGTGAGGAATTTGGCTTCAAACAAGGAATCTAATTTAATTCTTGCATTGTTTCTATCTCTGTGTAACCTTCTTATCTCCCATAGCTGTGCCCAGGAAAACAGAAAACCACTTTCAGTGTGGGACGTGACCTGTATGATCTCTGGTTTGTGCTTCTCAAGCTGTGAATTCCTCCTGAATGAATGTACCTCTTACCTTTCTGTGTGTGGCAAACCAAAATAAGTGACACGTAAGCCCTGAACAAATGCATTTTGTTAGCTAGGCTAGTGGTGTGCATAGTAAGAAGCAATGCCTGACTGACGTGTGCCCAGCAGACAAATTTCATCATGATTTGAATTGACTGAAACTGTAGCATGTGCCTCTGTGTCAAGGCATCTCATGGTAACTAAGACCTGTTTAGGGAACACAATTAACTTATACAATGAATTCTTACTAAAATAAAGGTAATGCCAAAACTTGTGTTCAATATCTAATTAAATATTTTCCTAATGCAGTATACCCTTTTATAATATGTGAAGCCTGACTTTAATCTCCTGGGAGCAGGGCAGTAAAGAATAGCATTACAAATATTTATTTACTTCTCTTGTCCCTCACTGGCTTTATTTTAATGGGTGTGCAAAACATCATGAAAGCTACAGGGGAGAAAAAGCCCCCCGGGAAACTCTTTGTATCAGGATGAATTGGAAAAACAAACTCTAGGGTGCTCATTTGCCATGAATCGCTTTTCACATCACGTGTGGAAAATGAATGAGGCGTCTGTGAATCTAATTCCCTTTGTCCCAGTTGTAAAGCAGATCAGCACAATAGGAGAGGCACAAGGCCAGCAAAGCAAGAGGTGGAAAGCAGGCACCATTCAGTGAATTCATTTTCAGTCATTCCAGTGCCACATGCTCCTTTTCTTCTCTACAGATTTAAAGAACAAACAAAACCCTATGGTCCCTGGGAAATGCCTCTGTTAAGCGCTGCTGCTGAAGTCTTGCTAAGCATGGTGGCAATGGTGGAGAACATGAATCCTTCCCACTATCATGCTGGGTCCCTTGTCACTCCAAGTGGGAGGACAGGAAGCACAACACCACAGTCTCGTTGCACACTAGGAAAACAGGACATCAGTGCACTGAAGAGTCTGTGTCATCCCAGAGGTAAAAAAGATAAAGATCTAGGGTCTTCCTCTTCTTAACCTAACTTGCAAGATTAAAAAATCCTGGTAATCTCTTTTCATTCTGAACTGGATTTTTGAGAGCTGTTTATTATCCTGAATTAGGTTACATTATTTCATCTTTACTATCTTCTGTCTAAATACAGTTAGATTTGTTGTGCATGTGTCAACCAAACTGGTTATAGTTGAAAGACTAAAAATATTCTCTCTAGCTCCAAAACCCAGTGTTGGCTTGGGAGTGTAACCCTTCCATTCATTGCCTGGCTTATTAGCCTGTCTCATTGCATAAGAACATCTTTGTTGCCCAGCTAAAAGGAAAATGGAAATTTAAAAAAATCTCACCACAGCTTTTGTAATATATTTCCAAGTTCTCCTCCTTGCAGACTGTGTGCGTAGGCCATTCTGTGCTGGCGTTGATGTAAAGCAGGACTAAGAGGAGGACGAGAACATTTGATGTCTTCATGGTGGTAGTGGTAGTTTGCAGGATTACTTCTGTCTCTTGCTAACCCTCTGAGGAGGGAGGTGTTCCTTCCTTTCTCCAAGGGAGACAGGGGTTACTACATTCGTGCCTGAAGAAGGGTTAAGTGAGCCAATGTAGCCTTAGCTTACCACAACGTGGTATAAACAAGAGGCTAGTCAGAATTGAAGGGTGCTATTTCCGTGTGCTTAGACTTCTGCTTTCTGCTTCATGTTAGTTTAAACTAATGACAAATGAGCTAATCACACCTACTCACTGCATGTCATAACCCTGCCTCAGTGCCTGCTGGAACAGTGCAGCCAACTGTTTAGTTTTTCTCTCGCTGCCAGTTTCTTCTCTTGAAGTCAAAGCACTTGGGTCAAGACTTCACACAAGCTTATTTAGCCCTTCTGGCAGCAAAACATTGCAATCCAAATTGCCCCATCTTGATCACACAAAGTCGGACCAAAATTGCAAGGTGGACAGCTTGGTTTCTCTGTTCTTTGTAGCAAATCTGTCTGCTAGAGGGCATGGAGATGTGTCTGATGAAGCTGGCACCAAATAAGCAAGCCTTGAAACTTTGAGGAATGAATCCTTTCTGCTTGACTATGCTAAATACTGAATTTATGTTCATTTTATTCAATGGTTCTTAGGAATGTACTATTTAACAGTATACCCAATCAGGTAAACCTAGACTTAATTTCTTTCCTTCTGATTTCCTGGTTAACAACCCACTAGTGATACTACACACTTGTTATTCTCACTAGGGTTTTTAAAAGCTGTGCTTTATGCAAAAATTAGTGGCTGTTGCATATGGCAGAGAATGATCAGTAATTAAAGTGGGGAGTGTTGCTGCATCTCCAGTAAACTTCTTCAACTCAGTTTAAGATCCAGGACTGGAATAGAATTTCAAACTGCAGATTGCCAGAAAGGTCTTTCCTGGACAGAGCATCAACTGGAAAAAAGCTACAAGCTTAATTCAACCCTAAAGCAAATGTCTGCAATAGTCTTCTTGGAGCTAGAGACAAGGAGAAATTGGCTCTGTAGCATGACAGAGCTGGATAAAAGATGACTTTGGCCATCTCAGCCTTCCTTGCTCTGAAGGTTGTGAGTATGATTTGCTTTACCACTGAGTAAAGTTGAAAAGGAGAAAACCTATGTATTTTAGCAAACAGGAGAGCACCTAAGAAGATTATTATGAAATAATGCTAAACAGTAGAGCTGTTCCTCAGGCAAAATCCTGGCCTGAGCAAAGGTAATAAAAGTAATCCCATAGATTAAAGAGGGGGCCAAGGTTTCAACCATGATGTATGAAATTTAAAAGCCAATTCAATGCAGTCCAAGAAGCTTTTCTTTGAATGATGAGGCTCAGGCGTGCTTCATGTTTTTGGATACTATCATAATGGTAAATTATATGTTCAGGGCCAGAGTGAGAATCCAGGCAACTGTCCTTAGGCACGGAACATGTACAAGTCACATAAACAGATTTGGGTTACAGATCTGTCTGATTTGACTGAACATTGGGTGAAACCAGCTGACAGTTGATGCAAGCAAGCACAATTGCAAAGGGAATAGTAAGGAGAGACCATGTCTAGGATTACTGTAATACATTTAAACTAGAATCATGTAAAGTAAAAGACCCTTCCCACTAAGGTCTATGAAGACAGTGAAAATTGGATATAGCAGTTTATTACAAAATGCAAAGTACTTCAGATCAGGACTGTGAGAACATAATTTCTGGATTTTTATTTTTTTTTTAGGAATGACATCATCATGGTCCTTCATTTAAAATGTCAGCTTAACACTCAATAATAATGAACAAAGTAAATCAAATGATAGAGCAAATACTTCAAAGAGAGACCTGCTGGGGATCATTAAATAAACCAAATTAGGCTCAGGACTTCTCTTGAGATGAAAATAATGGAAAGCTGGGAAAATAGGTGGGAGAAATACCATACATGCCTGCCCTGTTCTTACTTTTCTCTGCATGCCTGCTTGTCCATGCTGCTGGGAACAGGTTGCCAGGTTAAATAGAACCTTGGTCTGGACTAAAATGGTTTACCTGGATGCTGGGCTTGTCCTTTACCTCCCCATCCCTCTGTCTACTCTATATCGTTGGAACAGTGTTGCTGGTGCTTGTGGCTTTTAAAGTGCTGACTCAAGGCAGTCGTTCGCTTTTGTAGAAGCCCTGTGGTAGTTGCTCTGCAGGTATCTAGGAGTCTGTGCCTTGCCTTGCAGAGATTTCTATCTAAGCACAAGCAGGCAGCCTGGGAAAGGGGAACAACACTGAACTTCTGGGATACAAGTCTTCCTGCTTCACTGAAAGCAGGATGGCTGGGGTAGATTTCCTAGCAGAAACCAAATATGACTTTGTAGACAAGCTCAGGAGCTCTGCTATACATAGGCAAGTGCCTGCACTGTTTCCCTGTCTGGTGCATAGATTCTCTCTTGCTCTTTTGAGACAGCTACTTCATCCTTTTCTTTTGGCAATGCTCCTGACACTGACTCAAAATGATAAGTCACAAGATTATTTTTTTTTTGTGGGTGTGAGGTTGGAATGTGCGTCTCCAGTAGTTTTTGGGTAGCTAATGTTCTGAGGAGAAACAGCCACAATAGCTAATGTTTTGGAAAGCTGCACTTTCACTTCTGCTTTGCTCCACCACATTGTTCTCAGTGGGAAGGGAATTTTACTTTGAGTAGTTCAAGTTTACAACGTGTACTCCAGGCACTGTTTCCCCATTTCATTCCCTGTGTAATCCTTATACCTCCTAGAAAGAGCTTTATTACCAACTCCATCTGTTCTAAGAACTGCTTTTCCTTCAAACAGCCGAAGCCTGTGGGATGAGAAACTACATCTAGAAGTGGTATCAGTGCTGGCAATGGGAATTCTGTTTTGGCAGGTTGCTTAGCTGGCCAGCAAGCATGTTTCTTTATCTGTCTGATTGAAGACTTTGACCATGGAGATAAGCAGCTCAAAAATGCCTGTAAAGAAAGCTATTTACTTAAAATGGGAACGTGGCTTCATATAGCTAGAGCAGTCTTTGCTGAGTTCGGACACTTCTGCAGTTTTTAAGAGTGAAAAAGCCTCTTGTTCCTTATCAAGAAGATTATTATATCTGTAATATAATTAGGAAGAGTAAAAGATACAAAGATAGCAGAGTAATAAGCAGATAAATCTTACATCAATATCTGTAACTTCTTGGGTTGGTTGATACAAGACTGCCGATATAACTGTATCAGCATATCATGCTCCCTCCTCCAAATAGCTTATACCAGTAACTTCTCATACCTACAACCAACAGCCAGTACCAGCTTCTTGGAGAAAGTACAGCAATAAAGAGGGCTTTTTGGCTGTGTGGGTTTTCTTGTTTCGTTTTTGTTACTTTAGGGTCCTATTCTTCCCTTTTAGACTGTAGTCAACATTAAATCACAACTGATTCAATAGACAGCAACATCTATTGATTAAACAATATACTATTAAGTAGCCTAATTATAGGCACACTATTAATAGCTACACTATTACCATTAATGTACAATTGTATAATTTTGCACAGTAAAAAACAAATATAAAGCTAATTCTTTTTCTTAGATCTCAAAAGTCACACCTAACTATTTTATTACAGTTCTGCTACACTTCCCACCCACACTATGTGGTGCCAGAGTGCAAGCCTGTCCCTCTTTACTTCCCCACACTGTGTCTTTCAGGCACAGATGTGGTGGAGAGTTGTGTGGGTTGTCTGCAGGGGTTCCTTTCAGTGTCTTGGTGGGCTTGGGTACACAGGTAGCTTCAGTGCTGTTTGTAGGAGTCTGCACTCCTACTGTCAGAAGATCCCACCCTCTTTTCTTTACCTGATTTCATGTCTTATTCCCCATTTTTTGTGTTTTTTCTCCCTTTACTGCCTCCCTTTCTTTACCCCAACTCTTTGCAAACAAGCAATTCACTGCTTTTTTTCTGTCTTCATTGATCTCAATTGTGCTACATCTGTACTTGGATTTTAGTGTTTCCAACACTTTTACTCAGGCAATATTGGTCTTGTTGGGTATTACTAATACAGTTGCCAAGGCACAGGCAACCTCCTAAGACTAAATCCCAGAACTCCAATTCTCTGGTTCATACTTAAAATGCTTTTTAAAAAATTTCATACATTCATTAAGGCAAATTGTTCTACTTTAGCCTTGATTCCTCTATTCCTCTACCTAACTTTTATTAATGCAGGTAGTTTCATACCTGAGGCACAGCCTGCATACTAGAGCAGCAAAACTAGTGTATTTCATGCTCTGTTTTGTGCTCACATAGCATCCTTGCCCTTGAATTGTTTTAATTAGTCTCTTGGTTCCCTGCAGAGGTTTAGCTAGTCATGAGGCCTGGTGTTCCAGCAGAGCCTCTTGCGTTCGTATGACTGCACCTACACTATGATTTTTGCCAAAATAGTTAGGGGTATGTTGTTTTTCCTATGTTCCTAGCCAAATAGTTATCTTTGCCAAACTTTTTCAAACATAGACCTGGATAGTGCTTTACTCAATCTCAGCAATGGGGTTTTCTCTTAAGAGTTTCTTTTATTTAAAGATTTTTTTTTTCCCCCCTCTATTGTGCAAGTCCAGTATAAAGTGAGTCCTAACCAAAGTTTAAGTTCTTTCAAGCCGAAATCTTTTTTTTTCTTGCCTTTGGCATCTTTGTGTATGGCTGTATTGTACAATGAAACATTTCTATAGGGAAAGCTTCACATTAAAAGCTTCACTGGTTTATCTATCTTTTTCTTGCAGTTCTCTCTGAACAAAAGCTTTCTGCTTCGTATTTCTCAGCATGGGTCTCCTGCCTAGTGAAAGACAGTGAGTGAAAATTTCTCAGCAGATAGATGAGACTTTTTAGAGGAGATACCTTCAGTCTCCATAAAATCAACTTTTCCTACTGTGCTTGTAATGGTGTATTTAGAATTTTAGTTAAACAAGGCCTAGAAATGCAATCCAAGCTAATGTGTCACCACCCTCCCTTTCCAGCTGCACCT